TTAAAAAGTACAGAGGTGCTTGGCTAGCTTCAAACAAAGACAGCAGAGCACATAGGTTCTTTAAAGTTTGTTTTTTCTCCTAAAAACAGCCACAATGCATTTTTAGGCTATTTTAAGTTTTTTTTTCGAAAAAATTTGCAATTTTAAAAAGTACGAAATGTTTTACTAACTTTCAACCAAGCCAGTAGAGCATCTTGGATTTTTAAAGAATTTTCGGTTTTTCCAAAAACAATGTGCACCTACTTACTTAAGGTGCACATTTTTAGGCTCATGGAATATACGAGGGGCTTTCCACTGTTCAAAATTTGTACACCTATTGCCGTATTTCCTAAACAATGCCGGAATTTCTGAAACATTTCCGGCATTTCCGATCCATTGCCGGCATTTCCGAACCATTGCCGGCATTTCCGAACCACTGCCAGCATTTCCTACACATTGCGGACTATACGTATTGTATAGAACTATTTTTTTTTTACTCCAGGAAGCTAAAATTATGAAAATGTATGTTCATTAGGACATTTTTACTTTCCTAACTGTATACAGATAAGAAAAGTACCTATAGGAATCATGATTTTTTCGACCTCGAGTTTTCGACGGATTTTTACGTTTTCAGGTCCCCTGAATTCGTTGTGAATATTTTCGCAATGTTATCTGTGTGTATGTGTTGTATACTCGATAACTCGTGAACGGATTAAGATAAGACCACCAAGTTTTAAATTTAAGCGTTATTCTCCCTTGTGATAAACTGATTAAATACACTTTATACACGGAAATTTTTCAACTTTATAGAATATATTTGTTATTTAAGTTTGGCGAAGAAAATTACTTGTGATATCATTCTCTACATTTTTTCCCTATACATAATTTTCCTAAAATGGTCCGTATCCGAGAAATTTGACAAAAAGTGCAAAATTATAATTTTTAAGAAAATTATTTAAATTAAAATTTCTTGTGATGTCATGCTCTATAATTTTTGTCCTACACATATTTTTCCTAAAATGGACCTTATTCATCATATTGCAAAGTGCGAATTTCAAAGATAACTCATAAATTGATTAAAGAGAAAAATACCAATATTTAAACTTGAGCTCGAGCTTAAGCTTTAATTCATCCTGCGGTGAGCTAATTAAATTTTGGGCATAGTCGAAGCATCTGGAGGTTCTTTACGAGGTTCTTTATAGAGTGTCATTTTTAAAATTAAAGAATATCTTTTCTTTTACGATTGTATAAGAAAAATCTTTAAATAAAAGTTGTTTGCAATATCATTCTTTATAATTTTTGACGTATATATAATTTTCCTAAAATAAACTGTATTCAAAAATAGTGTAAAAACTAAGATTGTATGAAAACGATAGATTCTTAATTACAAAACACTAGTAGAACAGGATAAAATTGACCCAAACACTAAATCTACTATAGAAATAGTAAATCAGTCAACACTGATTGCAATGGCAATTAATAGATGGTTGAGCTGATGAGCACAGGCTTTAACCGGAACAAATATTATATGTAATTTTAAAAAAACGACTTCAAAATCGTGCAGATGCCATCACCACATCTTAACCAAATTTAAATGGGACCACCCCTGAGGTACCCCCTTATTAACAAAAAAATAATCAGAAATTGGACAAGGTGGCAAAGAATTACTGTTAAACATACATTAAAAATGAAGAGTTTGAGGATTTTCTAATGGATCCAATTATTAGAATTTGACTAAATTAATATGGGACCACCCCTGAAATACCCCTTTCAAACAAAAAAAAATAATTGAAATTTTCCCACCTTGAGCATCGGAATACTACATGGTTGGGGGTTTCTTCCTTTCTGATATACCTGCACTCCCCTATAGGCTTTATGTTCATCCTCTGGAGGTATTTTGAAAAAATGTTCATGGCTTAAAAAAAAGCGGGTTAGATTATAGTAGTTCATTTTCCTGTGTTCACATTTGACCCACTCCTTTACATCTTTTATAAACGGTTTTGTTCATTCTCCTTTACTTGCTGCCGCCATTGTTCTTGCCATATGTCTCTAGTTTGTTCTCTTTCTTTGCTCTTTTATACTTACTGTCTTCTTTTAAATGTAGCCTGCACCTTTCCTCTATGAGGGGGAATTCCTGCTATTACGTGCGTTGCTACTGCCGAAATTGTTCAGTACAATCTGATCACTCTTATAAGCGCTCTTCTTTGCACAGCAATTAGCCTATTTCTGTATCTGTCTTTTTTCATTATGTCTTTCGATACTGGAGCCACTTAGAGTAATACAGATTGTACCACCCCGTCGTACAATGCCAGTCATTTCTTACTTCCTGGGTCGCTAATTTAGTGCCGTTAATTTAGATTCAGCTTTTTCTACAAATCACATCCTATCATCTATCGTAACTCCTAGATGCTTCACCTGTCTGATATGGTCTGTTTCTATTCCAGAGATTCTTACTTTAACATCTTCTCTTTTTCTTGGGACTTTCAAAATCATTACCTCAGTTGTTTGTGAAAATAATTGCAACTTATTTGCTTTTATCCACCTCTATCCTATACCTATAGTGATTCATTAGCTTTATAAACTAACTCTTCCCTGTCTTAGCTTCAGTTATTACAGCAAGATCATCAGCAAATGCCACTGCTGTTACCTCTTCCATTAGCTGTTTCCTTAGTATGCCATCATACAATAAATTCAACAACGGGGGCCTAATATGGATCCCTGTGGTACTTACTGTTATCTAGATAGCTATCTATTACAAGTGTCATTAACTATTATTATTACAAATAGTGTCATTATTAGACAACATAAGCATTGATCTAATCTAATACTAATAAACCATAATTATAATACTGGGCACAAAAAGACATTAAAAGTGCCAAAGCCTGAAAAAACTATATATCAATCAAAGTTCATTTCATTATTTAACTCCAAAACTATAATATATAATTTAATGAAATTAAAAACATTCTCTACCTCATTCAAGAAACATTTTTACAAATGGTTTGCAACAATCTCTTGGAATTACATACATATTTTGAAATTTTAAATTAAAAATCATTATTAAAATTTGAATTTTCTTTTTCTGTTTTGTGAAAAAATTATCGCTGAACATACATAAAAAAATATATTATGATGAATTGAAAACCTCATCCTTATTTGAAGTCGGTTAAAAAACAACTCGCGACGATAGAAATAGTAGTCGTTACTATACAGGATGTTAATTTAAAAACTTCCCATGGACAACCTCTTGATAAAAGAATATCAAAAATTGCTTAGAACCGGTAGGTTTTTTTCTTCTAATGGGACACTTTTCTAGCATATTCTCAAATGCCATATAATGACATTTACCTCCCCTCGGTCACAGTAAAAATATACAATTTAAATAGGGAGAGTAAAAATTAAGACACATTATTTAAAAAGGTAATTAATTCGGTAATTATATGGGAAATTCTGAAATATGACTGTTCATTGCGGTACTTTTGATTTTAGAGCCCTCTAGCGAGATAAAAAAAACTATTGTAAAATGTTAAACTTCATTTGAATTTGATTAGTAATTTAATGCACAATATAACCAAACATAATGTAATGAAACATACTTTAAATAAGCATAAGAATGTCTCCTATTAATTGCAATTAATGAAATTAACTTTCAAATAAAAATCACACTTTACAATAAGTAAATTAAATTAAAATGAAAGTACCTAATTATATTGTTTCAAATGTTCTGAATTTTTTATGTGTAGTTAGCTATTAGGTATATTTGATTATATTCTATAATGTTGCATGATACAAACAGAGCTGAAAAACATGATATAAACTAGTTGAAAATAGAATAAAAACAAATACTTGCCATCGTTTTTCATTAATTTTACAGCTTTCCACTCTACACAGTCTACACACCGCTCTAAACACGTGTTTATTTTAAAACGGGGATAAATTGGTCGAGCTATTGCCTTGCATTTCCGAGACAATGCCGTCCATTTCCGAAACAATGCCGTGCATTTCCCAAACAATGCCACTATTGCCGAAACAATGCTGGCATTGCCGAAACATTTCCGATATTGCCGAAACATTTCCGGCATTGCCGAAACATTTCCGGTATTGCCGAAACAATTCCAACATTGCCTAAAGTATTTCCGAAAAATTTGTACACCTATTGCCGAAGTGGAAAGCCCCTCGGGAATATACCATTTTTCAGAAAAAAACAGTATTTTTAAAAAAATACAGGGTGCTCTGCTAGCAGTGGACAAAGACAGTAGAGCACATTTGTTTGTAAAAACAACCACAACACATTTTATGACCTCGGATATTTACGTTTTTTTTTTTTTTTTTTTTTTAATAATCACACTGCATTTTTAGGCTCTTGCAATATTATAAAACATTTGAGAAAAATTTGCAATCACCTTGGTTCTTTAAGGTTCTAAAAATAGCCAAATTTTTAGGCTCTTGTGTGTCTGTGATGAGTGAATTTTTGGCATCAGAAAGCATGGACCTCCTCAGCCACAAAAGTCATTATTAGCCTCTTGAAATAATATAAAACAATCTGAAAAAATTGATATTTTCTTTGCTAGCTTCAATAAAACCTCTGTAGTAAATGTCTTCAGATTGTTTTATATTAGGTATTTAAAGAGCTTAAAAATGTGGTGTGATTCTAAAAATAGCTTAAAATTTTAAAAATGTGGTGAGGTGATTTTTAGAAATAAAACTTTAAAAAACGATGTGCTCTGCTGGTTTTTTCAAGAATGTATTTTAAGAGCTTAAAATTAGTGTGGTTGTTTTTAGAAAAAAAAAAAAAAAGTGATGTGATCTCTGGCTTTGTTTTGGAAGCTAGCAGAGCATCTTGATTTTTGTAAAAAACAGGAAGCATACAATTTTTGAATAGGGTATAAAAATAGCCTTAAAATAGCCTAAAAATATGGTATAAGTTTCAACTCAAAATTCCCTAGGTGCTCTGTTGCATTCTTGGACATCTATTTTGATTGATTCATAAAAAAGTTAAAAATTTAAAATTTATGACTTACCACTTGGGTCTTTCTTCAGTCCCTTCGAAACGTTATTCGTAATGGGCGGTTTTAACATTCGCATACTAACTCTACCAGTATCTGTCCTTGTAAAAGTTTGTGGTCGCCCAGGCGCTGCAGGTTTACTTGCATTTGTCACTTTTGGCACAATTTTTAAATCCTTATGGGTTAAGGGCGCGAGGGATTTCTTGCTAATATTCATCAAATATCTACTTTGAATCTCGTTGGTTTTCATTGGCTTCCTATCTACAGAAATTGCACGTTCATGTTTCAACTCCGGCTGAAAAGATTTCCTTCTCATCTCCGGAGTATTTGGACATTTGAGCTGTAAAGCAGATTCGTTGTCGGCGCGGGCCCTTCGCAAACTGAAGGTCCTATTGCATCTGGTATTTGTTATGTTAGATAAGTCTTTGCGTTTCTGATTGTTCTTTTCGAAATCCTCCTCAGAACTAGACTCTGTATCACCAAATTGACTTCTGTCTATCTTTTGATGTCCACTACTACCTCTCCTATTAATAATATAGTTGGGCTTGATAGAAGCTGTAGAAGCACTTCTATGAACAGAAGTATTTCGGGTCAAATTTGGAGAATTTCGAATGTTTGATTCTTTTTGAACAACATTGGTGTTTTTTGAGGAAAGAATTTGATTTTTAGTACTGAAGCTGCTCGATCTACGTATGGGTGAATTATTAGGAGAATTCTGTATTTTGTGCATAACTTTGTTTTGTGAATATTGATTTAACAAATTTGAGTAAGTTTGATCAATAGTCATTAGATTTTTGTTCTGAAAATGTTCTAGTTTATTAGAAATATTCATAGTTCTATCATCTAGGGAATTGTGTCTAGTATGTGAAGCTTTTTGCTTTAAAAGATGTGCAGTGTTGTTTAGTTGAGTCCTAACATCATAATCACTGTCTGGGTCACTATCAAGAGATAATCTTTGTTGCAGGGAATTTATATAGTTTTGAGTTGGCTTTAAAATGGTGTCTGTATCCAATGAACTATCAGAAAAGTCTATGTTTAAAGAGCTGATACTATTTCTACTTCGTGGACGTGAAACCATATGTGTTGGTGATGGAATTTTGGTTGAAGGTCCTTTTGCTGAATAACCACCAATTGCAGGGGGAAGATTATTGATACTTTTTGGTGTTACAACAATATTTGCACTTACAACGCCACTAGAATCCACAGAACTTTGTACATCAATGCTTTGCACATTGACTATAGTCGTAGTTAATTTAGGGGCTATTTTTTTACCTTCTCTATGAAAAATAGGCTCATGAAAACCATCACTATAACTTTTTCCATCTATATAAGCTTGAACTTGTACCTCAGATTTTGTGAGACTTGACAGTTTATCTTTCTTTTCCACTTTTTTAAAAGCACCACTAGAGGTCACTGATATGACAGAGCCTTGATCATAATTCTGTTTCAAACCATCTCTTTTAGCGTTAGGACTAGGAAACATAATTTTTGTAAAGGTATTATTTAAATCACAGTTACTATTATTAAGAGGTTCATCCTCAACATGTTCGATATCTGTAATAGATATGTTTTGTGTTGGGGACAATATTGGAGAGAGCTTAGCATGTGGCTGAATTTGGGTAATACCACTGAATTTCTTCAAAGTTGGTGATCTTGGAGATTTTAACCCTGTGTTAGAGTTTAATTTAATTCCTTGGATACCCTTTGATACTTCTTGTTCCTTGACATTTCTTTGATTCATCATTGCAGCATTTAGCAGAACATTATCTCTCATTGTAGCTAAGCTTTTAACATACTCCTCAGTTTTCTTTTGAACAGAAACTTGCTCAATTTTAAATTCCCTATCAATGCTCATCCTGGCTTTTTGTTCTTCAGAATACTTTTCTGTATCTAATGTGTAAGTACCAGTATCACTAGCACTATCAGACTTATCAAAATCAAACTCTGCACCATCTATAAATATTTCTTGTTCACTATTTTCTCCAATATATAACTTTTCACATTCTGGGCTTAAAAATTGTGCCTTTTTTGCGGAATTACTCGAACTTTCTTGACTAATTGATTTTTCTATAGGACTAAAAGGGCTTAAAATATCTAACTCTGGACTAGACACGTCTTTCAATTCTATCTCTGGGCTAGTTATACATGGAAGGGTAGGATTTGGAAATGATTGTGTCATTCGCTCTGATGTAGTATTTTTTAAAGCAAGAGATAAATCACTGCGTTTGGAACCAGCACTCCCGATTCTTGCATTTGCACTTTTTACTCTATCTGGTTTTTCATCTGAAGAAAAATACCCCTCGGATTGAAAACTTGACTTTCTGGGCAGGTTGCCTGTCAGGGGATGTTGTTTCGGAGGTGTTGTAGTTGGAGACTCTTCCAATTTAGACAACGACTGGCCTCTTTTATGCCTTTTTTGAAATTTTTCTGCTAAAGCTTTTTGTCTTAAGGTTTGCACATCAGAATTTTGAGTATTTCCAAAATCAATTGTAAAAGCCAGGGGTTTAGGAGAGTCTGGAACCTTAGATGGGGAATTTTCGGTATTTTCATCCATGATTCACAATAAAATATTTGCAAATTTCAATCTAAAAATATTAAACAAAATACTTTCTGCCAACAAAAGTCAAACATATTCTGACTTTATCTCTTGAAATCTTTCACATACCGTTAAAAATACATTCCACATATAAAAATAGCATTATTTCTTTCAACAGATTTCTTTACACTACTAAAAAACTACGTTTTTATGGCATTAAACTACATTTTTTTAGCTAAAGGCGCGGAGCGACGAACACGGCTGAGCAACTAGCGAAAACTGAAAAATGACAGCAACATTCGTAATGTCAAAATCGAAACGTCATGGAGGTGGAACGGTTATGTCTACATTTACGTCAGCCGTGACCAACTACTGTGTCTAGTACTTCCATTTCGGATTTAGAAACACTTTCTACTCGCTTGTACTATTTATATGTATTCAAAAGTAATATGTGAATTTTGCATCAAAAAAGATAAGTACCGGATAAATGTCAACGTGTAATATATTAGACACTTTTGTGTTAACCACTTCCAATTTAAAAAGGTCCTTTCTTATTCTACTCTCTGCCGTTCTTGCAGTACATTTGAACCAACATTTTTTTTTGTACCTTTACTACTGTTCATGGATGAACGCTTCGCATATTTTAGTGTTTAAATTTTTTGTTTCTTTCTACAATTCTTACTCTTGTTTTACTAGCCACTCTGGATGAGTCTTTGTCTTGTGCATACCATCAAACTCAGAATGAAAAATAGTTTTTACTATTTTTTGTGCCAATTATGCATGGTCAATTAAGTTATATTTTATATTTTAACATATCGCTTATATTTTTCTTTTTATATTATATTAAAACTTACATTATCTTAGTCTATCTGACAAAATCCATTACTTTGCAAGGTTTTCCAGAATAATAAGCAATAATAAACCCCATTACTTATAATTTTGACACATTAAAGCTAATAATTTTCTAAATTGTATTCACTGTTTTTAGTTCGTGTTTTAATAGTTATATAACGGGACCAACATTTGGCACAAATTCTGATCATATCTCTATAGTACCCATACGCATACCTAATTTGACACACAAAACCAGTTAGGTAACGTTTCTCCATTACATATTATACCTAATATTCCAAAGTACCTATGTAGACATTAATAATTACACATTATGTAAATACTTAATCCTTTGTTAACTTTACGGTTTGCCAAGTATATATATTATTTACGCTTTTTGAACAAAAAGAACAATACAAGTGTATTTATTATTATAGGAATGTAATAAAATAGGAATAAGAGCTTTTAATGGGGTCACTATTCCAAGACCAATTACCTACTGTATTCATTATCAATTTTAATAGTATGCAAATACATGTTTTTTTGAATGCTCAAGTTAAAAAAGCACAATTTTTTAAACAAATTACTAGTCTATTCGAAAAATTATTAAGAGACCTACACTACTTAATGGTATTCAGTATCTTAATAAAACCTAAACCTCTGGTATTTTTTAACTAAGGATATTTGGGTGTACAAAATTGGAGTTTCTTAAAGTGAAACAAATGAATATGATACAGTGGTCCCATCAACACATACAAAATTTAGATAGTTTATTATGTAACAAGTCACCCGGAACAAAGTTACTTTGATCTGGGTTCTGGGAGGTTTGGAAGACAATGAAAAAGCCAACGAGCTCGTTAAAAGAGGAACCAAATTTTAGTTGATAAGACCAGATAAATTTCTGGGTATTGCAAAGAGCGTTGCTAAAGGAATTATCTCATAACGCAAGGAGGGTGTAACACTCATGAACTGGAGATATACTCCAGGGCTAATCCATTAGAATTAATTTTATATATAATTTTTCCATGAACGCCTCTGCTCAGATCTGAAAATGGAGTAGGAAAGATCTACGCATTCTCACAGGACTGATGACAGGACATTGTCGTCTAGGTAACCACATAAGAAGGATAGGTCTGCAACAAACAACGGACTGTCGATTCGGCAGTGTTGAAGACGAATCTACGGAGTACATTCTATGTAACTAGGGTCCAGATCTTTGGATTCACCTGACTGGAGCCTACAGACTTTAGATAAGTCTCAGCTAATTCAACCATGGCCTTCGTAATAATAGATCCATCTGGGTCGCAGTGGAAGGCAATGAGATCATTACAGTCATTTTCCACCTAACCTCAAGTCACCTAAACCCTGAAAAGGATGAACAAGTTGTGTTGATGTATGGCGCAATTCTAAAGTATTTTAAAGCTAGTGTTATGCCTAAAGTGATAAAAAAAAAATATAAAATATAGGCAGTGGAAAAATTACGCATGTCGGATATTACAATTCATCTTCTTTTTAAAATGACAGTTCGGATTTGATTGAGAGGCGTCTGAAGTTATCACAGGTAAATGCACGGTTATGACTCGTATAACTGTCTTTGTCACTCACAGTCATCAATAATGATAATACAGTAAAGATTCGGAAATCAAAAATAAAAATCGACCTGTCTAAGGATTTTTTAATATGTAGGACATATAGTGGATGCAAGAAGACGAAACATTAAAAAAAAAACAAGTATTCTCTACGAGAATGAAATACACTTCCCCCATTTTCGAGGGTGCCGATTACAAAAAAATAGTGAAAAACGGTTTTAGGCAAATCCATCCCCGCAGACCTAAAACCACCCTTTTTCGATTTTTATCGCTCCAAGGGGTTGAAAATTGACTTTTCATACATTACCGCTCTCAACACGGATCCTCCTGTTATTTAAAAAACATGAATAATTGAACGCTCCGACATATGTTAATTTATTCATGTCTTCAACATTTCTTTGTGAATCACTCCATATATGTATGTATAGAGAATTTAAAACAAAATTGTCTCTCATGTTTTTCAAAATATATACATTTCGGAGCAATGGAGGAAGATTTTAATTCCCGAGAGTATATTAAAAATAATAATGGCAAAATTAATCCCAATAATAAATCGAGAGTATATAAATTAAATTGTGGTAGTTATCCAAAATTGTATATTGGTCAAACAGACCGTACTTTCAAAAAAACGCTATTCAGAACCTTACAAATTACAATAGTTATATTAAAAACAAAAATAATTCTACTTTTTCAAATCATATTTTGACGGAAAATCATTCATTTATAGATAATTTTGAGAATATAGAGAATAAATGCATTAAATTAAACCATTTAGAAACACTTGAAATAGATTCAAAAATTCAGATAACTTCTTAAATTATCAGACATTAATAACTCACCTTTATTAAATCTCTTTACCTGATGTTTTCTTTCCAGATAATCCCGGTAATGATAGTACCTTATTGGAATTTTATTGATATTTTTTTTCTTAAGTACCTTGACTAATTAGTTTGTTTTGTATATATATTAGAAACCGAAATTTAAATAATTTAAAGAAGTTGTACTTCGAAACAATTGTCTGTAATTTTGTATTTTTTTAATTATTGTCAAGCATTTGTTGTATTGTTAGTCCAATGGAAGGGGCCAGGTCCAAAAAGTATTTGGTTGTCTGTCTTCTTGGCTAGTGAATCGCCAAGACAGTTAGTTACATTTCGATGTGGCATGGCCTTGCCACATCACTGATGGATTTTTGGACAGACTTCTAGTAGTAACATTCTAGTATTAACCCTAAGTAAATTTGTGGTATCGCATAGTGTAATTGCTCCAAGAGTTTTTTGTAGGCTTTGTTAATCTTTGGGAACAACGCATTACTCAATAATATACCTAGATAATAAATGCATAATCTTATGTTTTATACTATTGTTTAATTACTGCAAATATTTAGCTATTTTGATCTTTATTTTAAAAATAGTAGTAAAAACAAGATACTTCCTACAAACGTGGAGTTATTAAATATTGTCAAGTAGTACTGCTTGATTTCTACCAATTTCAATAATAATTAAAAAAGAGTATTAAAAAGTTTTGTATGATGAAAATAATAAACAAAAAATCTTTCATAAAAGTATTTTATTTCTTTTTAAAATTTTAACAAAAATTCTTTTATTGTATTTATAATTACATTTTATTAAAACTTACAGCTTTTGGTCAAAAAAGGTACCATAACAGTCGAAGATAAAAGAGTGATTGCTTTAGAATATGTCTTAATTAACATATACATACAGGGTGGTCCAATTTATATCATCATGATTTCACCAGATGATAGTTTTTCGAAAATAAAGGTACTTTGTCCAATACAATAAACTAAGTTCCAATTTTGCTTGCTTTTTCATACATAATGGTTCAGGAATTCAGTTTAAATTTTTTATTCAAAAACAAAATAAGATTCGAAAAAAATTTAAGAGACAAAAAAGTTATATTTTTAGTTAGTTTAAGAATAAAAAATAAATTATATGTAATGTACATCAAAAGTAAACAAAATTTGACCATGTTTATCAAACAAACTACCTTTATTTTTCGATAAACTCGGCTGATAAGATCCTGATGACATAAACCCTGTATAAACTCTAAAAAATTACAATTCTGTTTGATCCAGGCAAGGAAGTTGATTTGAACTTTGGTTTGACCAAAAAATATATCAAATATATTCGGTTGATAAACTTTTTTAAAAAAATTATAACAATTGACATTTTTTTAGACCGAAGGGCTTTAGTCGATGGCAATGTAGATATTTTATCCAACAAAAAAATATATTATTTGATTTGTGTGTTCAATATTAATAGGAAAAGAAATGGAAATTTGTGTGAAAATTTAAAATCCTAAAATAAATGCCAAAATAAAATGTAGAAAAAAAAATCTAATTTTCCTGACCTATTATCTGATAAAGGTATCATATAGCAAGACGATTAAAAATTTGAAAATGCTTGCAAAATTTTAAATTTTTGGAGTCCAAGAACAAGTATTAAAAACAATGGAAAAAGTAGGCATATAAAAGCGAAATTTTCTAGATTATTGAATAAAGGTGTCATAGATGGAATATGCCGGTAAATTTCATAAACCACAAATTCACTGACAAAAATAACACAATGTGAATATTATTTTAAGATTTTTTTCTAAAATATACTCAGACAGGTTTCTGCATTTAATGAAATGAAAAGTTTATCAAACATACTTTTTTATGAAAATAAATGGTAAAATTAAAAAAAAAGCATTTTTAAACGAATTTACTTATAAAGAGATATTAAAAAATATATTCTAAAACAATCAGATGCAGTATCAACAACAATTTACTCGATAAAAGCAATTAATTTTTAAAAAACAGGCACTTACAAGAAAAATAAAACATTCATATATTCTTACAATAGAAATTCTTATAAATTATTAAAAATATTTATTTTCGCTGATTTTCATTGAAAAAAGTTTTAGGATTTCTCTTCCTCAGTACGATAAAATATGAGATTAAAAAAAAACAATTAGCAAACTTGTGTACAATAAACAACAAAATTATTTACAAATAAATAAATCTTTTAAAACGTTTCCAATTAAATTGTATCATAAAAAAACAAGCATTAAAAAATAATATCAATGAAAAACAAAAAATATATGAAATTAACACAGATTGTGAATTTGTAAAATTACAAGACAATAAATTGTGCTTATTAAGTATTTGTGGGGCTACCCGCTTGTTATAAATGTTGGCTGGTTACTGTTTGAGTAGCTAGAAGAATGAAAAGTTCTTGTCAGTGACAGGATTCGTGATGTATGAGCTGAAAAACAAAAACGAAATTTTTATTAGTATTATTTCAGTTTCAGAACGGATATATTGTTTACAAAAAGCTCAAGAACACAAGCAAGATGAATGCTTTTTGAGCAACATATATTATTCATTCTTTATTTGTATATAAACAAATTTGAAAAAGTCCAATCAGCAGGTTTGCTTACTTTTTTTTATAAAAATCAGAATATTTATGTTAAGGACTTCAAGATAGATTGAGTTTTGGATACATTACATGTCAACAACCACTCCCATATCCCATATAGAATCTCACGGCCACTCTGTGGCTTTTAACAACTGCGATTAAACCATCTTTTCTTTATATGGGTATGTTATGGGGTGTAAAGAAGACTAAGATCTATTGTGTTAACTAAGCAGATTAGGCTGGTGGGGACATTTGTGAGGGATGAATCTTCTTGTGTTGTATAAGGAGGATAATTTGAATTCGTTCTAAAGTTATGTAAATATCTGCTATTCCAAACTTTCTTCCCGTAGGTGAAGAATGATGATGTGATAGGAACACATCAGTGAGTAAAATTTAAATTTTTTATTAAAATTAGGCTGAGCGTTTTCCGCTTTACAAAGTCATCATCTCCTAAAAGGTGTTTCAAATTTATAATAAAAAACCACCAAATTTACGTATAAAAGATACCACCACAAGAAGCATTAAATAAATAAACGTTTAAAAATTCCAACGTTTGGAAAAAATTGTTAAGGTAGATAATTTGCACTAGCAATCTGGATGAGCTAAACCATTATAAGTATTCTTTATTAAAATTTATTTATTGTTAATTACCAGCAACGCATAGTAGACACATGGTAGATTAGGAAATTGACAAGTGACAGCTGAGATAGAATGAAAGAAACGAAAGTCATTAATTCTGGAGTCAACCGAACTGATAGTAACAGACTTAGTGAAGATAAATAATATAAATTTGAATTGAAAGAGGTCAGCTTAATTTTATTTTATTTCCTCAATTATCCCACCAGCAGCCGAAGGACTCCGGGCAACAACTTATCTCACATTTGAACTCGGTCCAACTTCTAACGTTTCGATCTTCGATCTTTTATATTATAAGCTAAACTTTGGAACGCATTAACAATACTGAGGACGTCCGCACATGGTACTTGCCTTCCATACTGATATAGTTGAATCGGTAAATAATAGGCAGTAATTTAATACCGTGAATGTGTGAAGAATGCTGACAGAGTTGCCATATATGCAATTACAATATTACGCCCGTCATTGAAAACGTCCTGTTGTCCCGTAATCTCCGAAAATTTGTAATATCGTTGGCGAAATAACATATGACGCTTTCTTTACGCATCAAATTCTGTTTGAACAATTACTTTATGACAAAAAAATGTGATAAAATCGGTTTCTTTATCACTTTCACGTTTACGGCGGTTCGTATATAAACATTTAATACTGGCAAACAAATGAATGATCTTAAAATGTATTCTAGTACAAGCTAAGCTTGGCGGTCTTCTATCTATACGATGTTGCAAGACTGACTTTAAGAGAGCTAGGAGGGGGAAGGGGAATGTGTGTGGGCTAGTGAGAACCGGAATCTGATGACGTCAAATCTATAAATTCAACTGTCATAGCAATGTGCTTTGATAGTCCAAATGGTAGAGGCGCCAAGGGATGTACTCGGAGGTTCCATGTTCGATCCCTGGCCGATGCACTCATTTTTCTTTTCTTTATTTCTCCGCTTTTTTAATGTTTCTTTTCACTTTGGGGACGTGGGGATACATTTCTTATAATTTTTTAAGGGGAATGGGGATTATATTATCACATTTCCAAAAATTGCAAATTACTTTATGATTATTAACAAAAATTAAAAATACGGCAGGAGCAATTTTAGTTACATATATTATTACAAGCTAAAAAAAAAAAAAAAACTAAACAAAACTACAAACACGTATCAAATTGTCAAAATCTTACCAGTTACTCGCTCAGAACCGGTAGCATAGACCCATAGAAATAAATAAAATTAGAAATAGACTCAAAAGTATATTAACAAATTAATTTTTTATTTAAAAATAAAAAATATATATATGCAATAGTTGACATACAGTAAGGGTGTGTAAGATGAAAGCTCTAAGTACCAAAATTACAATTGGATACAATTTTGACATTTCTTCTTGGTCTTACTACCTCTTTTCATTTTTTTTTGTTGTGATCCACCTTTCCATGCTATCCCCCTAATCCGTTTGAAGCCTGCTGTTTATTGTGCCATCATTTGAAGGTTCTACTGCTTTCCCATTCACTCACTCATTCACCTAATTCAACGTTTTGGAAACACTAGTCATCTAATCTCATAGTAACATGGCCCGTGATGTAACATTCCAGGGTAGCTATTCTTGAATTTGAGGGAATAGAAAACCGGTTTTTCCTCTTTATCTGCAACGCACAAAATTTGTATTTTTGTCCCATTCTTCTCTCAAAAGTTCTACTCCCTGAGATTCAAAAATAGATACCCAGCCGTCACTCATCTACGACGTGGTCGGAAGCTCACTACTTGGCTGTTGCGGGAACATGGCTGCACACTAATCTTGCGGCTAACATCTATGGCTTCCTCTTTTCATTAAACATGCATGTCACTAATTTTTAAATTACATTTTTTTGACATTTAGAGCTTTCATGTTTAGGTAACAATTAATAACTTGACCCATCTGTAGACACGTCTAATTTCGTGCCAGTAATTAAAGATAATATGAAGAGAATAATATTATTATGATTAAATACTTACAGTTCAACATTATGAATTGTAGAGGTCGGACAACTATCATTAGCCTTCACGTGGCAGTGTTTGTGGCATTTGATCAAACAATCCCTGCATTCATATCCTTGCTTACCGAATCTTCTCGCTATCGTTTTAGCACAGACTTGACACACAGTACCACTAAAAAATGGCAGAGATTAACAAAACAGCTTTTTTTTAAATATTGCTGTATCAATTGAAAAATTACAAATGACAGTGTTGACATATAAAATGTCAGTTTGACATGTAAAATGACAGTTTTGACACTTAAAATGACAATTATCACTTTAACACAGGGATTCTTATGTGCAAACTCAACACGTTACGTATCGAATAGAGCGAATTGTGTCTCGACATTATATAAAAATCGCAGTCACGAAGATAGACGTCTCGATACGTGATGTATTGAAAGAAGAGAATCCCACTGCTGATGACATAACAGTTGACATTTAAAATCATCTTATTATATGAATCGTACTTACCCTTGCAAATGTTTCGCAACAAAAGTGTGATCATTGAAGATATGCAGTTTTGTTCCTTTTTTCCTCCACTTGGATTTTTGAGCTAACGACAGAGGCACGAGGTAGTGTTTCTTGATACCATTTTCAATGGTTTCTAACACCAAAGTGCTGGCCTCATTGATGTAAGTTCTGGTAGAAGCACTACTCATGCCAGACGCTTCCGACAGGCTGGATCTACGGGAAGTTTCGTCCATTGAACGTTGACCAGGTACGTTGAGGCGATAATCTGTAATTTAAGAAAACAAAGAAATTAAATCAAAACTAGTATTATTTAACAGTAACAAAAAAAAAACAAAACAAAACTTACTCTCGTCATTTCGCCCTCTGTCTGCCGAAACGGACCTGTTAAGAGAATCATCACGACCATGGTCGTTTTCCGGACCGGCCGATTTCGATCTGTTCAAAGATTTACCCAGTCTCCTTTTTATTGTACCGAAAAAGTCTCTACGTTTCCTAGGTCTGCCTCTATACTCTAAATTCTGCGTATCGTTTTGTGTTGTATTTGAAGTATTTATAGTAGAAGAAGAAAAGTCTCCAGGCTAAAATAATTAATTATGAATTAATTTTCTGACTCAATTTCTTAGAACCACTTTACAGTTGCGGCAATTCCTATTGAGCGCAAGAGAAATTGAGCTCAAGAAAAATTGAGCTAAAGAGGTCATTGATTAATTTCTGGTGGAAGAGATTTGTGCTGAAAATAAGATCCAGGTGTTTTTTCGAAACCTCAGCTGCAAGGGCTAGTCGTGTGAAAAAAGTAAAGCCCCACTTAAAGGGTTGGTAGAACACCCTGTTAAAATATTAGAAGATCATTAGAGAACATCCTGTATAGTAAGAAATATTAATTATCCATATTCTTAAATATGGTCAGTTTTCTTAACAAATTAATAAAACCCAAAATCGGTACCGCATCAAATTTATTGTCTTACCAACTAGTTGCGACTAGGTTCAGCCCATTCAAGCCATTTTTTCTATATTATGGTAGAATTAAATATAATATTAAAATGAAGTAAAAATAAATTAGGAAAAAATTGGTGAAGTAAAATCATTTTGATTCAAAATGTTTTTGTACTCCTTTTGTTATTGCTGAGCAAGTCGATATAAATATTAGTCTGTATTTTACGAGTATCTTAGCCAGCCATGGTTATTACCGACATAGTTCGTATATATGTATTTGTCGGTCACAGCCTACTTTAAAAATATTTTTTGTAGATCACCCTTTGATTAAATAAAATATTTATTTCATACTCCAGCGAAATAGTTTAGGAAACATAACACAAAAAACATGCTAAAGTCCATAAATGTATATTTAAACTGATTGGTAACGCTCATTGCAACCATTTCCCCTAGAATTGCAGCCCAATGCAATTTTCTGCAACTATAAGATGAATTACAATAGCTGATCGAAAGGACGTTAGTTCGCTGACGTGTAATACGAATGGTGCAGGAATTTTACTTGCAAGCAAGGAAAATTACGAACTGTAAAGTGGCTCTTGCCAACGGCAATGGAAATGGATGAAGGCTTCCTCAGACCAATGCGAAAATTTGCTCCGCCAAATACTGTTTACACGACGAGAAATCTACATGTTCAGACTAACTCCAATTTTATCGCTTTAGAATTGTATTATTTCGCGGCGAATTTTCCATCGACATTGTCGTTGGTCTGAGGGAACCTTTCCACATAATTATATTAAATCATGTCTTGATAAGAAACATTATTACAAAACAATCTTTTATATATAGCTCCCCCCTTAAAGCCATTATTAGCGTTATTAATTAAATTAAATAAAAAAAACCAAACCTTAGACGACGTTGAACTCTCATTCAAATCCTTACTTTCACCATTCGATGTAGCATTTGAAGTACCGTTTGCCTCGCTCGGAATGTTACCGTTAGTTTTATCTTTGTCTTTATCCTTTTCTTCTTCCTTATTTTCGACAGCGAATTCTTTTTCTTCATCATTCGGATCTATTTCTATTGTTTCTATCTCCTTCCAAGCGCCATTATTGAGTTCCACCTGATGTTAGTTGTAAAAAAAAATAAAAAATGCACACACAATCAAAAAAGCAAACAGAACTCGAAACAAGGTTAAGGTATAAGAAAATAGTATTATATTTAAAGAACAATGTTTGCCTGTATTTCCTTATTTCAAAATCATGCTTTAAATGCTGTTAAGTCACGTTAAATTGCAACAACATAAATTCAAATGACAGGTTAACAATGACGTGTAATCTTACCTTCACTAGCCTTTGGGAAGGTTGCTAGAATAAAAACAGGTATTGTTAGTCACAGATGATCATCTTGGTAAAAAACCGAGCATAGCTTACCCTTTGAATGCTGTGAATAACGAGAGTATTCGTAGTATTCATAGGTTGCCTATTCCTATCTAAGTCTCTATATGTATCACCTAAATGATTACCATTTGTGATAATATCTGTAAAAATAAATAATTATCATTTGTTACTATTTCAACAAGAAGGTGTTGGTATATAAAATAAAATTGGATTTTTACTTTTGTTTTTAAAGAATTCTTACCATTATGGAACGTTGAAGTAGTTGTAGTAATATTCTTATTTCTATGAGGAGAAGGAGTTCTAATGGTTTCTTTAATTTTATAAGGTTGATTACTGCCTATGTTTGGTATGTCAGCACCCTCTATGAACAGAAACTACAAAAAAAGCATTCATTAGTCTTTAAAAGCATTCATGCTATAGAGATTTGATAAAAATCCAACCAGAACACAATAAATAAAATGAAAGGAACAAAATGCTTCATTATATTTTGGCCTCGTCTCTCATAAATAATATTTGTAGTCTCTCTTAGAGGCAATCAAATGCACACATATCCCGTCTAAAAAAGCAAAACAACCCTTACTCGTCTCTGGTTCTTGTGTTCGTCTATCACAGACATATTTAGATCATTCTTTTAGTGTGCCTCGAACAGATCACACAGTTTACTTACAGTAATAAAGTTCGTTGCTATTCAGAAAAGCAAAAATTAATAAACAACTCGAAATATATTTCTATATAAGTAATAAGTTTTTTCTAGTAGTTCTTGGGTTTTTAGGTGTTTGTAGATCAAATGAAACTCTTGTGTGTGGTTATAGCTTTCGGCACTGATCAGTGCCTTCTTCAGTAGTTTTTATATAATAAGTTTTTTCTAGTAGTTCTTGGGCTTTTAGGTGTTTGTAGATCAAATGAAACTCTTGTGTGTGGTTATAGCTTTCGGCACTGATCAGTGCCTTCTTCAGTAGTTTTTATTAAGTAAATTTTTTCCTTGTCATTAAAACGTTTTTTTTTTATATTCTACAATAAATTCTACAATAAATTTTTATATAACGGATTAACAGAACACCAACAATAAATAAAAATATAACAACGTACATGACTAGGACCATAGGAGAAAAAAAAATGAAAAAAGTTTAATTTATTTTAATGACACACCCCAATTCTGTACAAAAGGTAAGCTAAAATACATAAAATACAATAGCAAATGTAAACTATATAAAAATTTCTTGTAGGATTTCGGATGTTAACTCTAATATAAAAAAACAATGTTTTAATGACAAGGAAAAAAAATACTTAATAAAAACTACTGTGCTGAAAGCTATAACCATACACAAGAAAAAACTATAAATGAAGGTGCAAGAATTTATAAAATAAAGCAAATGCCCTGACTTTCTTTGTAAAGTACTAATAATAAATAATAAGATTGTAGGCGAATGTGTTGACAACAACAAATATGGGAGATACATAAAAAGAAAACAATGGAAATTTGGTAGAATTTTCTTAAACACGGACAGTGATAACAATTGAATAACATACATCATTTCTTCGGAATACATTCGCGGCTTCAAACATAAACAAAATATCAGGTACCTTTTTATGTTGCCTTTCTTTTTTAGCATTACAAATAGAACTCAACTAACTATAAACATCTTTATTGATAATAAGAAGCCATGGAAATATATCTGACTTCGACGGCTGATTGTGAATCAGTTTATTTATGTACACGTTTCCGATTATGATATCGAATAATATTCCGATTGTGATATTGTATAGTTGTGAATTTGAAATATTTACCTCGACGGTGAGAGTTCCAGATACAGAATCGCTTTCATAAGGTCGACTCTGCAGCGAAATAATTTGCCTTTGAGATGGATTTACCAAAAGCTCCTCCACACCAACTATGCCCAAACCCAAAAATCTGTGCGGTTTGACAGCATGATCATATACTTCGAATAGCAGTTCTGCAGTATTTGGAGACAAATCACTAAAAATAAAAAAACATCAATATTGATAAAAACACGCAAACCGCACCAAATAATGACTTGTTACTTACAATAAAAAGTGTTCATCCCACTGAGGAGAATCTGTATTCTTTTGCACAGCAGTCTGATTCTTTTGTGGTGGTTCGTCCATTTCAACCACACAATAGGGTTCTGCACAGCCTTGAGTAGCACCTAATTGTGCCGCACGTACTATCTTCACTAAAAGTCGTTTTTCTCCTGGAATCTGTCTCCCTCCTTGCGTCATGTGATTAGAGGAGGAGGGAAAATTTTGACTAATGCCTCCCTAAAAATAGAAAAATAATTATCTTTTAGAGCACAATAATATATTGTGGTTTGTGAAAAACCAAAAAGGAACCATTTCTTATTTTTTGTTATATTTTATTGGTGCTACCAACTAGAAAAGTAATTAATATTAATTTAGGTCACTTTAATTCAAGAGGTCCACTCCAGACAGCAAGTAACCTGATTCCTAAATGTCGTAAATAAGTTCTTGATAAAGTATCAAATGTATAGTATTGTTAGAAGACAACCTTGCTTATACCATGCAAGACAATTTCCGAGAAAGAAAATTATTTAATATGACATAGGCAAATATAATAATCAGAACTACTGCAAAGTTCCAAATTCAGGTGGTAGGCACCATATGAACTAGAATAAATGAAGTAGAACATAAAAGGTTTCACCAATGCCCGTTTCATGTAAAAATACCAGTTATATTTCTTTCCTTTAAGTCCGGAGTTTCGTAGAGCACAAAGGTTGTTTGTACTGAACTGATGGTAATATTAAATATGGGATCAAACTATATGACACTCCGTCTAACCTTCAACAGACTCTTCCATGCGACATCACCGTCTCGTTAGCAACAGATACCACTTTATTTTAGGCTGAAATATATCTAACTGAATTATGTGTAAGATAGAAGTTAAGAAGAAAGTACACAAAACAAACCATCTTAATTCTTTTAGTCAGTCAAGCAAGGATAAAGGCACTTGGTTCAAAGATTTAAACCAAATCTGGTTTGGATCTGCCCTGGAATCCTTAGTGATCTGGCAATCCGCAATAAGGTAAAACTAGCGTGGATACCAGGACATAAAAGTATAGAAGGAAATGAAAAGGGCTGATGAACTCACCAAAGAGGGAGCAGAACCACCATCACAATATCCGAAACTGTGTTTGGGATAAGCAAGCAACAGTAAACAGGTGGATAACCAGTAAACACCAAACTCTCTGGTCACAGACAAGAGTAAAGCCATATGCAGAGATAACCCTCATATATCAAAAGGACGCGGCGGCAGACAGGTGCAACATAGCAGGTTTAACCTACAGAATCTACATGGAAAACACAAAGACAAAGATCGAGACAAACATCAGCAAGAATAAGTTACAGAAGCAGAATCTTCTAAGCCTCTAGAGGATTTTCTGTATTAGTAATGAAGACCCAAGTGCAATATATGCGGATTTACTCTGAATAAGAACCCAAAGTGATAACAGGACTATTCAAATATAGTAAACGAATACGAAGAAATCAGTGGAATAGAACAGACTCAAGAGGCTGCAGTTTGTTTGGCTATATATCTAACCCCAGCAGCTTATAACCGACATATATAAAGATAGAATTGTTAGAAGATAACCTTGCCTGCACCTTGCAAGGGCAATAATTTCCAAGAGAGAAAATAATTTAATATGGCTTGGGCTACTATAATAGTACTCAGAACTACTGTTATACAACCTTCCAAATATTCAGTTGGTACATGCATAATATATGAACTAGAACGAAGTCTTAAGTATCGTAGAGCAAGAAAATTGTTTGTACCGAACGGTGGTATTTCGTAAGTAAGAGTTATATGACGGTACATTTGATAAAAATACAGATCCCCAATTTAGCAGAATAGTGCAAAATTTCCAATATGCCCACTATATTGGGGTTATGGATTGACCCACCCGCAATTAGAACCTCAATGTAATCTAAGACGCCTGGAACAAATTCGGGCAGCGATTGAACCAACATCAGCTAATCCCGAAATTCGTAGAAAAGCGAGATTAGCTGGTTCCATAGGTTAATTGAAATTTAATTAGAATAGCTCTATCCGGACATTTACCATCGGGGTGATTGAAGCCCACTTCCAAAAATTAGGCATCTAGTGACGCCTCGTCGACCTTATTAGCCTGTAGGGCTTTTGACGAGCTGAGAGACAAGTCCTATTTGCCCCTGGACGATGCACAACGGACCTAATGATACCTATGGCAACCCACCCTCCCCCCTCCTCAAACATACAGAATTGAGATAATATCCCGATCGCTGTGAAGAAGTTTTTCGAATTAAAGAAGGTCATACATGTTATATTTTCTTCTTATTTTTGAGAACATTAAAATAAAATGCTTGACCATACCATCTTTGTTCTTTTTTTACTGTGAGCACCACAACAAATTGTTTAAATAAAAGAAAAAATAATTGTAATAAGTTTTTTCAGTAAAAAAAGTTCGTAATGAATAGTTTAATTTTTTCCATGTGGACTACTTACCATGCCCATACTGTCATAATGAACTGGCAGGATTTGTCCTGGCATAGAAACATGTCGTATTAACCTAGGGCACGTCGGGTACTGAGCTAAATTCAAGTCCACTTCTGTACTCCTAAGAGCTTCAGTCAAAATCTCACTGAAAGAAAACATATTTGTGTAATAAAAAAATATAAATTTTATATTATGTAGTTAATAGTTTAAAAATATTGTTTATTTCAACGTTGACTTCCTTGAAAAAATTATCAAGTTGTTGAAAACAGAAACCTCTATTTTTAAATTATTATAAGATCAGATTTGATGTGCGAGTACACTGAAAACAATTTGTAATTATTGTTGCGTGTCTACCTATATTTAATTAGCTATAAAGTGGTAAAATAATATATAATTTTAAATTAATAATATCGACAGTAACAGTACATATTTATTAAGATTCAGAAAATGGTAAAATGGCTTTGAATGACAACATTTTATGTAAAGAGGCACTTTCACCTGAAAGTAATAACTTTCCCGGCAGTTATAAAAAATAAAGTATCATTAATAAAAATAAACAGACGGAAAGAACTGTTAATGGTTTCATTTTTAAAACAAATTAGTTTTAAAATGCATATAATAATAATACTAATAATATTGCTAACAAGATCAGTAAATTAAACTATAATGAATTATTGATGAGGATAAGCAAGTTATGGGACGAGTGCTTGCGAGTTTCAGAATAAATGCAAATAGGAAGGAATTTAGATCAGGCACAACTAGGCAAGAATTATTACAATAAGCAGTTTTTCGAAAGTATAAAATTGTTTTCCTAAAATATACTAATGTAAGTACGTATTATTGTTTAGTGTAACAGTTTTCAAGCCAAGTGAACTGTTTCTTACAGACATAATAAAACAAAAATGTAATTAAATAAATGATTATCCATTATTATATAAATATTATTATCCATAATCTCAAATTTTAATTTTGTAAACGAAAGAATGAAACTCAAAATCCATACCATATATATTTATTGATCTTAAAAACAAGATACGTCCGAGAAATTTCGAGCCTGTAATACAATAGTTTGTGCAACAAGAGTGGAGATGGACAATCCACTCAAAGTTGAACAGTATATTTTTTCTACGACCCACTAACAAAAATATACAAATTTTAAAAATTACTTTAGGTTATAGACAAAATAAATAATTTTAAAATTATTTATGACTTTTACTAATTTATAAAATAAAATAAATATGGAAAAAATATTTAATTTAATTATTCCCCATCTTAGATTTGAACCCTGGTCTCTCGCATGGAAGCCAAACGCCCTGTTTGTTCTCACCTCCATCGACATACTTATCATTTTTGTTTTAATGCTCGTATTTAAATTAGTTTCATATAGTTTAAATAAAATTTATGATGGTCAATTATATAAAATTTAAAAAATATAAATATGAATTGTAGTTGGTAGATTTAATTTTTTTGTAGTGTTCTTACTAGGTAGAATGGATATGAAATATTTTCGTTCAGTTGAATGCAATGGCATACTTTTTCGTATTTGTAGTCTGTGCGTACGTAGATAAGCTAATATCCATGTTGGTGTAGAAAAATATTGTCTTACAATGAACAAGAATAAAAAAGTCGGTAAAACACGTCAGAAGAAAAATATATTTTTGTTAATTTAAAAGTAGTAAAAATTAATTACTTATCTAAATCTTTTAATTTTTTAAATTAATCTTTAATCTTTCGTTTAGTTTATAATTGTAATTATTTTTTTATATCTCGACAAAAAATACTTTCAAACTAAGTCTCAATAGTCACAGTAATATGCGCGAAAGTGTCGTCATAGTGTTGATCGTGGAACTTTAAATCAGTGGCGTAACGATTTAAAATTTGTAGGTTAACATAAAGTTAATTTTTAAAAACCAATATAATTTATATTTAATAATTTTAATATGATAAATATGTTTGTTCCCAATTCCTTTGAATTAAGTGTTAAAACCTAGTACATACTATTATACAGGTGGTGACTCTTGTAATTCAAAAAATGATGACAGGAAAAAAGCGCAAAGGAAATAAGCGCACAGTCATGTAAGCGCGCAAGAAATAACGGCACGTGGAAACATGCGCACACGGACAAAACCGCACACGGAAAAACCTCGCATGGAAAAAATACGCGCAAAGTTGACTGTTTTTTTTTTTTATTTTTTTTGTTAACAGTTATGCAGATATAAATCATATAAATCGTATTAACTTTATTGTAAAAGTATTTTAAGATGTTTTCTAAACTTGTCTAATATTTTTGACCTGGAGCCGAAGGCCGAAATACCAAACAATATCGTTAGACAAAAACAGAGAGATGCATGGAGATCCTACTGCGAAGAAATCGAAGATTTCCCGCAGGTAGCAATGCTTCAAAAAGCTCTCTCAAAAGATCCACACCGCAGCATTAGTGCGCTAATCAAAGAGCATGGCATGAAAACTGCCAACCTCGAAGATAGCATCAAACTTCTGCTGTCAACACACTTCCCTGACTGTCATCACAGACATTGCCGACTGGGCAGATGTAGAATACAATCCATCTGTCTATGATTGGCAAACTGCCAAACACATTGTAGACCTCAGTAGACGATGACAAAATTAGATGGACAATATCCAGCTTGTCCCAAAAACATACCGACCAATTAGTCTGACATCGTTTTCCATGAAGACATTGGAAAAGCTATGCGAAAGATACATAAGGGATGCGGTGATTACATCAACACCACTACACCCAAATCAAGCTGCATACACTTTAGGCAGATCTACTGATTCAGCCCTTCACCTAGTTGCTGACCGGATAGAGAGATCCCTGGATAATAAGGAATCCGCCTTAAGTGTTTTCATAGAAATAGAAGGTGTTTCTGATAAAATCACCTTTCTCAAGATAAAAACGAGCAGTAAACATAAGTGTAGAAAATGTGAATATAAGAGGCTTGGATTCGAGAGGATGTCCCCAGGGAGAGATGCTATCACCTCTACTGTGGAACATGGTCCTCCACACCCTTATCATCCGCCTCAATAATGACAGTCACTCGACAATAGCGTATACAGATGATCTGGTCATTCTGCAAACAGGGAATTTTGAGAACATACTCTGCGAAAGAATGCAAGTAGCTTTCAACATTATAGTACAGTGGTGAAAGGACCTCCCTCTGTCTGTCAATCCTAACAAGACAGAAAAGGTCCTTTTCACAAGGAAAATAAAGAAAATAGAATTAAAGCCACCAGAAGTCCTAAACAGAAAACTAAACTGCAACAGAGGTGAAGTACCTAGGTCTCACCTTTGACAGCAAGTTAACATGGAACTCACACTTAGAAAACAGAGTCAAAAGAGTTGCTTATGTACAATGCAGCCGAATCATGGGGCTCACCTGGGGTTTCTCCCTCAGAGTCGTCGCATGGACTTATACAGCCATCATAAGACATATGCTAACATACGGTGCAGTTATCTAGATACCGAAAACCCAAAAATTGATAGCTCCGCAAACTAGAAGAAATTCAAAGAACAGCATGTCTCAACATAACAGGAACATTGAAAACCAGACTGACCAGAGCCATGAAAGTCATTCTTAGTCTCACTCCTCTTGATATTTACATCAAGGAGGATGCTATGACGACAATGACGAGCCTCCGCACGGTTGGAATAGAACCTGATCTGGTGATGCGAGACGTATCTTTTGGCAGGAGGCGTTCGATATGCTCCCACTGCTTCAAGCAAATATGGACTCCATCTCACCGAGATATATCTTCACTAAGCCATATAAAGTTATAATAGAACAAATACAAGAGCCGGAAGTGGCAGGTACGATTCATATCTTAACTGAGGGTTCTAAAACAAAACAAGGTTCAGGATGTGGAATATACTCCAGGATCCTTTAACCTAAATATAAAATGGGTTGTGAACAATAATGCCAGTGTAGTTCAAACAGGGCTCATGGGGATTCTCATAGCAGAAATGAAATCACCAGAAACAATATTACTGAAAGGAACATGCTCATCTATACAGATAGCAGACAAGCATTACTCATCCTGAACTGACCACGAATTTACTCAGGGTTAGTATTAGCATATCACGAAGCTTTGGCCGAAGTATCTATCAACAATGTGGTCACCTTAAGATATATCAAAGGTTACGCCACATCAAAAGGTACCTAACCGTTCATTCAAGAAATCAGCAAACCCAATACTTTTTGGACCTGGCTTGACCTAATTAAAGAACATTCCCTTGTGAAATTCAAGGAAAGATGGGATGAAAGCTATCCTGACAACACTACAGCAAACAAATACTTGACTATGACTAGATAGAATTTCGCTTGGTCACAGGCATTCTGATTGCATCGAAAAATTATTGGTATTATTTAAATTACAGCTCTAGACCAAAATCACTATAGAATAAATTAAAACTCGAATACGGTGTAATCTTTATTGAAATGGAGTGTACCTGTAATCTTTCTTTCCCTCTCTAAATAATTGGCATCATGTGATGCATTCTATAACCGTAATAGCTTTATTTTGGTTTATTATTGAAATTATTAAATAAAATAGTTGGATTTTGGTATTTTTGTTAATTCAAAGTGATCTTCATCGCTAATATAATGTATTATTTTTTTTAGGAATTAACAACTTATATCAAGTGTTAAATCTAAGAACTTATTCCGAATTAGAGTACATAGGAACAATTAAATGAGTGAAATGTACGTGAAAAGGCAACACTGCCTTATTTTTATTTAAAACCTTCACTGCTACGAATATTTTTGAAAATGCCTTTAAATATTTGAAGTCCCATTCTTAGCCGACAACTGACTTTAATATTGTCCATAATTGTGAAAAAACGCACGGTAAAAAATGGCAATTTATTTAAAATTTAGACTTACACGATGACCTCTTGTAGCTGAGATTCGTCCAAATTGTTCTTGATGTTACCGACAGGAGCGAGGGCGATCTTGATTTCCGGCCAACCGTCGCATTTCACGTTTGCCTGCAGCTTTTCAGACACACAAAATATGTTGAGTCTGGCCCTGAAGCGGTTGACGTTCACGCGATAATGCGACGTTTCGGACTTGTCGCCCTTTTGTCTGAAGCTTTTCAATTGGAAAGCTGGAGTCGATTCACAGTCGCAAGTTATCGTCTGAAAGAACAAAAAAACAATTTTAAAAAAATGTGTTGGTTAATCTGTTTTTTTTAATGGTTCAAGTTGTTCTGTTTGAATTAGTTTTCGTATATTTATGTCAAGGTCCTAATGTAGTTGACATTTTAAAAATTACCGTCATAAAATTAAATTACTTGCAATTAAATGATTTTAATATTTTCCTTTTTATGACTCACATTCGTGTCTAACAAATAAGTATGACATTTCAGGGGTGCATAAAAGGGGAATTTTATTATCCTAACCCACGAGACAGCTCTATTAAAAAATCGATTGTGCAAATGTACAGGTAGTTTTAAAATGGAAACAAGCGAGGTGATTGCAATTTCAGTTCCTAAGACAAATATCGTAGAAAAAACTTTTGAATCAAAAAAACGGCTGGTGAATCCTGGATACGTGCCATAACGGTTAAAGATTTTGTTTATTTTACAAATAAAAAAATGGTACCTATATAAAATACTTTCATTTCAATAAAACAGGACAAGTTAATAAAACAACTTCGACGCCTATGATCGTTGATTAATTAAACTTTTTTTAAGAAATTTAATATTCAAATGTATACCGAGCGTAAAAGAATATTGGTTTTTAATGACTAGGCTTTAATCATGCACAATTTATTATAAGTGACCATGAACACCTAAAAATACATTGTATCTAATACTTTAAATTCGGACCATAATGACGTAATTTCGCGATGCCGAATTAACCTTTACATTAACAGATATCAAGACATAATTTGCTTTATAGCAATAATTGAAAAGGTTGCGTATTATCAGATTTTTTATGGTTAATGGAAAAGAACCAAATTTAGAAATTGTAAGAACCGCATAAATCCTTGTGTTATTTCCAATCAAAGGTTATTGTTGTGGTTTACGGAAGATTAATTGACAAATTGAACAATTAAAAACGGGGTATCTCTGTATATAACAACGATATGTGTAGACCAAAAGTTAAAGTAGAGATGTGCGATACGATATTTGACAATATCGATATTCGTTATTTTGTATCGATATTGTACGACATTTTACCCATGGGTATTTCCCACATTATAACCAGTTTTATATGAAAATCGTATTGATTTCAATGTATACTGCAAAAGAAACAATTATTGAAAACTAATTTTAGTAAATAGTTTGTCATATGTTAACGAACTTCCGGATGATACCATTATTTAGGTTTCGTCCAGCCACCCTGTATATAGTGTGGAAATTAAATAAACCGATATGTCAATTTTTATTTCAATCATGTCTTACTTTTAATTCTCTCCAAAGTGACAGAAAATCCTTCCATTTTTTAAATAGTCAGAGGCGCCTTATGATACTTCATTTGAAAGGGGTTGAAAGGCTCATTTCACTATGTTTTTGCCAGGAAGTAAATAGAAAATATTTTAAGCACCTTCTGCATTAAATTAATTTTTATTAATGAAATTTTACTTCACTTTACTTTTTTCCCGAAAAAAAAGTAATTTCATAAAATGTGACATTTCTGACAAGAGAGATAAAATGTCAAGCTTTTTTCCCGCCACAGAAAAAATGTATTTAAAAACATCTTTAAATAATGTCGGAAGGAATACTTGGAACAACTTGTATCCTAGTTACGTCACTACTGGTTTAATTAATTAATAATACCGCCAAATAATAGGACATTATATTATTATTAATCATCGCCGTAGTCTTAAAATTACAATTTATTACCTTCTCAATTATATTTAATTGATTATTGGCATTTTGATGGCTGGCATAAAAATTTCAACTGTTCGAGCAATCTTTATGTAATTATATCAATATCTAGGTAAAAATATGTTTAAAAAATTACCATTGACCTAATTGCAGCAATGGAAATATACTAATGGTCAATGATGGCTTGTTTATGGCCCCAATTAAGTTAATTTCATTGGCAACTAGGTACTATGTTATAAAAAATAAATGTAATTTTGTATCAGTCTTGTATACCTAGATATTGGTAACTTATAAAAAAATAGAGTGAAATGTAATTGCTAAAAGAGAAATAAAAGTTAAAACTTGTAAATAACGTTACTGTAATTTCAGTTAGTGATAAATTAAACATTAATTAAATTGTTGTGTAACACGATTTCATGTTTTCACGATAACATTATTCAATATGTATGTCTCTAAAATTGGAAATGATCTTAGAATTATTTTTTTTATTTATTTAACCAAAGTAAACACAGTATCAACTGCAATAATAATTTATGATTTTGTAAAAAAAAGACGAAACAATTTAAAATACTATTACACGAATATATGATGATGATGATGATGATGATGACGGTGATAGTGGGTGAGGATTTCCTCACCTGTACCATTAACAAATAAAACTAACTACAAAAAGCAAACGAAATCCAGTTGCTCTAATAATGGAATTTTATTATATTTATGGAAAAACGTGACAAAATTAAATCATGTTTTCCAGTATCGTATTTTAAGCTGATTACTAAAAAAATGGTACGAACAACGTAGCAGTACTTGAAAAACAATTGTAGGGAGCAAATTCTTGCAACTGGATCAGATAAGCTAAACGATATATAAAATTTGAAAAAAACTTGAACATGTGAGATATAAAATGTTTTAACTTAATTGTCAAAAATATAAAATCAGTTAAAAAGGAAAATAATTTTTTCTAGACCCACATGGCTCATCTGCGCACAGACTACAAAACGAAAAAGTATGCTATTGCATTCAACTGAAAAATATATTTTATATCCATTCTAGGTAGTGAGAACACTGCAAAAAAAATTAAATCCACCAACCACAATTCATATTTTAGACACCCAACTACCATTATTTTTAAAATTTTAAATTCTGTCAAATTAATTGTCAAAATATTTTTTAGTTATTGAGATTAATATACATTAAAATGAGTTATTTTGTATAGAATTGATCAATAATAGCATTTTTATTTGATCCATATTTTGAAAAAAAAAAAAAAAAAATAAAATAATAATAATAAATTTTAATCAAACTATACGAAAACTATTTAAATTACGAGTATTCAAACCAAAATCCTAAAATCTCGGCTGGACTAATTAAATAAAATCTATTTTTATTTTATTTTAAAAATCAGTAAAATTCATAAATTATTTTAAAATAGTTATTTTGTCTTAATAACCTAGAATATTTTTTTGAATTTGTAGCTTTTCGTTAGTGGGTCGAAGAAAAAATATACTGTACAACTCGAGTGGATTGTCCATATTCACTCTTGCTGCACAAACTACTATTTTCCTACGACTTTAAGGTGTAATCACTTTTGGCAGGATGCGCTCGATACGCTCCCACTGCTTCAAGCTAACACCGAGATATATATTCCATAAGCCATATAAAGTTATAATAGAACAAATAGAAGAGCCGAAAGTGGCAGGTACGATTCATATCTACACCGACGGTTCTAAAACAAAACAAGGCTCAGGATGTGGAATATACTCCAGATTCTTAAACACAATAGTGCCAGTGTAGTTCAAACAGAGCTAACGGGTATTCTCATAGCAGCAAAAGAAATAACCAGAAACAATATCACTGAAAGGAACATTCTCATCTATACAGATAGCAGACAAGCACTACTCACCCTGAACAGACCACGAATTTACTCAGGGTTAGTACTAGAATGTCACGAAGCTTTGGCCGAAGTATCCATCAACAATGTGGTCACCTTAAGATGGATCAAAGGTCTCGCCACATCGAAAGGTAACCGTCTTGCTGATTCACTAGCCAAGAAATCAACCAACCAAATACTTTTTGGACCTGGCCCTTCTATTGGCCTGACAAAATCGGTAGTGACAGACCTAATCAAAGAACATTCCCTTGTGAAATTCAAGGAAAGATGGGATGAAACAAGAAACTGCAGAGTTGCCAGGGAACTCTTAAGTTGCCCTGACAACACTGCAGCAAACAAATACTTGACTATGACTAGACAGAATCTGCGCCTAGTCACAGACATTCTGACTGGTCATTGCCAAGTACGAAAGCATCTCCCTATCATGGGGCTGTCAGAATCCGCACTCTGCAGAGGGTGCGAACAAGAAGATGAGACCATCAAGCATATACTTTACGATTGCCCGTTGCTCTCATTTATTAGAAGATTTGTGTTCGGCGAGTATCGGCTAACACCAGCCGATATAAGAGAAGCACCTCTTGGCGACGTTGTCAACTACATAAAATCTGTAGGCTGGCTCACGAGCTAGGAGGTGCATATCATCTCAGGAGGATGCACAATGTGTCTAACGAGGCCTAAGTGCCGTGGGGATAACCCACCCTCCACATGTTACAGATAGATACAGACAGATATTATTATATCAGGATTGGTATATCTAAAGGGGTTACAAAATAGCCCGACATCTTGGATGCCATTTTTATCCAATAGTAGTCACCAAGAAAAATATAAATGATTTTTAAAAAATTAAATTAAAACCTTTTAGCCCATCATTTTACGAGTAAATAAACTTAGGAACGATTTATAAAAAAAAACTAAAATGAAAGAATTAATTTCCAAGAACTATTCCAAAAATTAAATTAAATATAACACGAAGAAAACAAGGAAATCAGACAATAATAAAATCGAAACCAAACAACGAAATGAACACAATAAATAATAAACACAGGAAAATACGAACATAAAAACCAAACACGGAATCGAGACAACAATAATAGCAAAATACCAGAAAATATATTTGTTTTATAGGAAAATCGATAACCAAAACGAAGAAACAAACTTTGAGGAATCAAACACTGATCATTCTACCTGTACCACAATGTACCTAATAAGTAAAATCTGTCTCGGTTTTTATAATATAATTATTGCAGGACAAACGATAATTGTGGTTTTTGGCAAAGAAACATCAGAAAAATGGTGCCAACTTAAGCTGACTACTATTTCCCACCTAGCTTCAGTGACTCCTTCATCCATTTACTGATATCTATAAAACTAGAATGACAAAGTCAAAAATCTGCATTTTTTTGGTCCTATCGTTACAGATAAAAGTAAGAGGAAGAACTCACAAGGAAAAGATACAAGGAAAAGGTTTTGCTTTTCTTTGCAAGAAACTCCTCGCAAGAAAAAGGAAAAGGTAGACACGGGTGAGTTAGGTATGTAAGTTTCCGCCGAACAAGTTGTAACTTGCAGTTAGATAGTGCGTTATTTCCCACATTAGATCTGAAAAGGTCGTGGTGGACAAGGACATTATAATGTCCAATTACTTTTAAATCTAGTGCGTTATTAATGATATTATGCATGTTTGAAGAAGACGGCAAGTGACGAGGAACTGTCAGATAACCAATTAGAATCACACACCGGCGATAATAGGATTCGGTGGCAATGCCCACCATACCATTTGGGGAAGCATGAACATCAATACAAGAGGCCTTATCTGAAGGTTTGGTAATTACTAATATAAGTAACTTTCTTCACTACGATGAGAAAATAAGTCCTAGATATGACTCTTTGACTGAGTAAGCAAGTGTTCAAACCACAGACATATTAGATTTAAACTAATTACTCCCACCTCGAATTTCAACCAAATACACAAACCCTAGAGAGCCGAACTGGGAAAGGTATTGTGGAAATAACAGATAAACAAAACCTTGATCGAGTAGTAGACCAAGTAAGTAAGGCTATTGTAACCGTTTACTAGGAAAAAATTGTGGAGAAACAAAACAACATAGAACAAAAACAGTCTGGTGAAACAAATACTTGAAACATCTTTGAGGTGAGGTGCGAAGGTTATTCAATAGAGCCAAATCAACAGAAGACTGAGCTCTATATAGGGCTAAACTCACGCAGTACAACAAGGAGAAAAAAAGGCAATCAGACAATCGTGGAAGAAGTTGTGTGAGGAGTTATCTGAAACACATACATGCTCCAGAACCTTCGAGGAAACGTTAACACAGAAGCACACTTTTTGGACGCGGACTTAGACATTGAGCAGTAGATCAAGTAAGTAAAGCTGTTATAACTGCTTGCGAGGGAAAATGTCTGGAGAAAACAAGACAACAAAGAACAAAAAGAGTTTGGTGGAATAAACACTTGGAACACGTTAGAGGTGAAGTGCGAGGGCTATTCAATATAGCCAAATCAACAGAAGACTGGGCCCTATATAGGGCTAAATTCACGCAGTACACCAAGGAGATAAAAAGGCAATCAATCAATCGTGGAGGAAGTTCTATCAGGAGTTACCCAAAACAACCAAGCACGCATGCACTCAAGCACGCACACACCCACGCACACGCGCACATATACACACACAAACACACACTACTTCAGTGTTTGAAAATAATGTTTTTGACTTTCATGAAACAATATACTATTCTATCTCGGCTATTTCTCTTTGGATATGATTCAATTCATGTCGTGGTATTAGCTAAAGAAGTAGTTGTTTTCCGGAGGGAAACGGCCGATCGTATTTTGTGACATGGCTTTCATATTTTTTTATTTTTCTTTTTATGTATAATAAGTTCGTGCATATACGAGTATCTTTCTTTATGATAATCTTATACTTGAAAGATTCACACTATCCCTTATGGACCTCCAATGATTCATTATCCAAAGTGTAAAAGTTTTCTTACTTACCACATCGTCTTTCGAATCAGCTTCGGCAAAAATGTTTGAAATAGTAGGCGGATGTGTTTCTGGTAATATCCTTATTAGTTCCACACCAATTCCTTGCTGAAACAAACAAGTTTACTTAGATATTTTTGATTAAATATTCAAATTTACTATACTATAGTAGCATTTATATTCAGAGTACCCTCTATTATCTATTGTCTGAATAAAAGAAGAGTGCAGTAAAAGTGGGGATAATAATAATAATAATAATAATAATAGTTTATTCAACAAATAAAGGCAAAAAAATAGAAAGTATAATATAATACATATACATAAAATATATGGAAAATAATTAATGTAAAATGTAATGTAAGCTGGTACCACATTAATAACCGATATAGGTCGCGCAAAAGCCTATCCTGTGCTTTGTTTACTCTTTGCCCGCGGTATGAAGTCTAGCAATATAGAGACAAACGCACCGCTTCTCGAAGCTACCAGAAAAAAATCGGTACGTGGCCGTTGAGTCACAGAGATACAGTTCTCGATTATTGTGGAAAGCCGAGAGTATTCTAGTATAGAGTTGGCTTTATATAAATAGCGCGAGTTTGTCGACGGACGGGAAGATTGAATTTAAGTGTTGGACAGAAAATATAAATTGTAATTAAGAAATTAGAATTGTGAGTTATAATAGTGCCTAAGTATTATATAAATTAATTAGTACGTCATAAATAAATTGTAAATAGTGTGTTTTAAATAAATAAACTATAAATAAATTAAACAAACGTTACAATAATTATAACAATTAAGAGAACAGCAAGACTAGTATCATATAGAAATTTAGATAAGATCCAGAAATGCGTATACTTTTCTATCAGTCATTAAAAAATAGTTTTTTGTGCTGCCACTTTAGAAAATGCGTTTTTCCGATCATTTTTTAGCTCGAAAAGTGCGTCGTTGCCGGTCTAGATCGACATAACTTCTCGGAAACGTGACATAACTGCTCGCAAAGTACCTACTTTCCCGAGCAAAATTTTTATTAAAGACAAAATACCAATATTATTGATAACGCAAATATTATGATTTCTAAATTGACCGGAACATCAACGTTTAATAATTGTACTTGGCATAATTGCACATTCAACATAAATATTAATTATAAATGAGTTTTGTTATAAATTTTGAACAATAAATATTCTGTTCCAATATTATTGTCAAATTATTGGTGGCAGCACAAAAAATATTGTATGCGCCACACTTGGAAAGTCTATTTACAGGGCTCGCAAGCTTTCAGGGCTCCGCTTTCGGCGCCACCCTGAAACTTGCATGCGCGCCCTGTAAAGTATCACTTTCCGAGCTTGACACGTAAATAACTATTTTGTGAGTTTGCCGTAATGTTGTACATTTTATATTCGTCCAGTAGGGAATTGTATATTGTATATCTTTGGTAGCAGGAACGTAAACCCACGTTGCCTGATAGTTTTTTGCATGAAGGGAATCTGTGCCATATTTCTATCTCGATATCTGGTAAAATAGCTATGATCTATGTATTGTATGCTCTGCCAATGTTTGTACAGATACATTAAGATACTGTAGACATATATTTGGCGTATGTCAAATAATCTACATTCTTCAAACAATAGATTAGTGGGGTATTTAATATTTTTATAATAAATTATTTTAATTATCCTTTTTAGTAATATTTCTAGTTTTCTTAAATAGTTCTTAGTAGTGGCACCCACCCCATGCCATAATACCATATTGCAAACGAAATTCTACCAAGGCGTAATAGATAATTCTCAGGTGAGACAAATCTATAATATTCTGTAGAGTATAAAAGTTAGGTGGTAAAAGTACCCACCCGTAAGGTTTTGGTTAGGTTATTTATATGTTTATATGTTAATCCGATTGTAAATATGAATCAATTGATATTCCCAAATATTTTATATTATGTAGTGTATATTAACAGAGTCGTTAAAGATATATGCCTCTTATTCATGTATCTTCTAAGGTCTCCAATAACTGACCATGTGGTACAGTGTCAAAGGCCTTAGCAAGATCAAGGAATACGCACAGACTTGGTTTTCTTTTATCTATAGCGTTTTATATGTTTTTCAACACTCGTGTAATAGAATCATTAGTGGATGGATAGACTAGTGATGTGAGTTGGGTAAATACCCAGTGGGTAGGTAAATAAATTGTGGGTATTTACCCGGTATTTTTCCAAGAGATATTTACCTACCCAAAAACATACAACAAGAAAAAGCATTGGTGTGCAAATTTTGCAATAAACGGTTTGAGTTTTCAAATGAAAATAAAATGGAAAAACACACATTGAAGTGTTTACACTGTCCCATAAACAAAAAAATCTTGCCAAAGCTGTACTACTCAGTGGGACTCCTTTATCAATGGTAGAACATCCATTATGGATTTAATTCTTCAAACAAATAAGGCCCTCTTTTGTAATGCCTTCTCTAGATGTCTACATCGTATTGCCACATCTTACTTGAATAATAAATTGAGGCACTGCAGAGCGAAATAACAGCAGATTTAAAAGATTCGAAAAAATTGCAATTGCAATGTGACGGATGAAGTAACCTTCGTTACGAGTCAATTGTTAATTTTGTCATCACCAAACCGAAACCACGATTTGTCGACTGTATAATTACCAAAACCAACAGACACAATGCCGAATATTTGTCAAATCAAATGCAGAATGTGTTAGAAAAGTATGGGCCTGAAAAATGTCTGGTTATCATTGGTGACAATGCTGCAAATATGAGAGGAGCTTCTCGATTATTAACCGAAAACTTCGATTACATTTTGACATTAGGCTGTATTGCTCACCTACTGCATTTAGTTTAGAATAACATATTCAGCTGCGAGTCTATCAAAACATTTATGACAAAAGTTACAGATGCTATAAAAACTATCAAAAACAGTCATATTCTTCAAGCTTTGTTTATTAAAATCACCAAAGAAAAGAAAATCAATGTTTCTCTGAAACTAGCTGTAAAAACACGATGGGGAAGTCATTTGTTCTGCCTATAGAGCCTTCGTCTAAATAAAAGTTTCTACAAACACTAGCGATAAGTGACGAAGTATCTGTAACACTATCAAAACAACTAAAAACTTTATTACTTGACTGACGATTCTATATTTTGGGTACAAGTTGACAAAATGATAAATATTTTGAGGCCAATTGTTGATTAGTCTCCACTGAAACTTTGATACTAAAAAAAATCCGTCGAAAACTCGAGATCGAAAAAAATCATGATTCCTTATCTGTACACAGATCGGAAAGTAAAAATTAGCGAAATAAAATATTTTGCAATAGGAAAAATAAATTTAGCTGCAACCATGTTAGATCCATCCTTCCAAGGTCATCAGTTGACTACAGAAGAAATAATGGATGCCATAGAATTTATAATTGGCACAGCCACAAAAATAGGATTGGGACTAAAAATCGGCGAAATTAGGAATCTTCTAGCAGATTATAGAGATAAGGAAGGTATTGTCGAAAAGGTTTATCTGGGAAGGAATGAAAGAGATCAATTATCTTACTTAGTGGAGAGGTATGCGTGGCACAAATATACTAGCAGACGTTGCAATTAGGATTATAAGTGCACCTGTAACTTCTGCTGCTACTGAACGATCCTTTAGCACTTTCAGCTAGATCCATAGTAAAAAAAGAAATCGATTGACTACAGAAAGAGCTGCCAAAATTAATTACTTAGCCCACAATTGGAAATTTCTAATGTCCAACCAGACTGATTCAGACAATATTGTGAAATAAATGTTTTAATTTCAATAAATATTTTTCATACCAATTGCTCAAATTTAATAGATATAAAGAAATTTATCCATTTTGGGTAAATATTTTTGGGTATTTTCCCGCAAAAATAAATACCTGGGTATTTTACATCACTAAGGTAGATCCTCTCGAAACCTAAATTGGCTTGACGATAATATATTTTTCTAGATATTTTGTTAGTCTGGATTTTAGTTTTTCAAAAATGTTGGCGAAACAAGAGATTAGAGAAATGGGTCGATAATTTATCATTTGTTTTTTTTGTCACCTTTTTTATAAATTGGATGTAACGTCACATTCGGTAGGCGTACTTTGCATTTTGAATGAAAAAGTTATTTACAAAAAATCAAAATAAACCTTATGCTACTGACAAAATTGTTGCACTTTAACATTGAACGAATTAAATTTAACCAATAAATAACAAGGACGATTATATGTTGTTAATGGGATTAAACTTTTTTAATCTCTTGGCATTAAAAGTAAAATCAAAGATTAAAAAAATAAAAAGTTCAAGAACTATCTTTAAAAGTCACTGTCTTCACTATAACTACTGGTATCATTATTATTGTCTTTTCTGAGGTTTAATAATGTAGGGTCTATTAAGTTTTACATTGCTATATCCACCTTTTTAAGATGATCAATGCATTTTCTCCAATGTTCTCTATTTACAACTGAAACTGCCTGCAAAAACAAATTTCCCACATGGACAGGAATTCTTATGTGCGAACTCGTGTTGAATAGAGAGAGACATTACATTAGAACCACATTCTGTCGAACGAAGATAGAGGTTTCTCAACACATGCCGTATTGAAAGATGAGAATCTCACTGCAAGTAATTTAAATGTTGTAAACATAACCTTTTAATTGTGATAAGATCAGTTCAATGTGATTTAACTCTGCGTGCTAAACAGGCAATCTGAGAATTTCTCGGACTATCTCGTCTATAATTTATTTTTTGAATTTGTCTTTGCCTTGCTATTACGAGTAATTCTGCTTCAAGATTTAGGACTGATAATATTTTTAGAATGAAACCATTTTGAAATATCTTCTTTTTTCCATCTTGTTGTAGTTAGTGACTCCTTTAATCGACAGTGATAGGATGCATTATCTAAAACAATAACGGAGTTGGCTGGATTGTTTTTATAATGTTCTGAAACCAATTTTAAAACATAGGGTCATCCATTTCTTTTGTTTTCTTTGACACGAACATTTATAAACCATCTGGCAAAAATCCATCGGTGCTTCCAATGTTGGTTATTATTAAACCATTTCCTTTTCCTATTAGATTCCTTAATCCACAAATTCATTAGTT